GCATGGGCAGAAAAATGGCAGGTGGAGTTTAATCCGGACAAATGTGAGGTGATGCATTTTGGAAGGTCACATACAGGTGGAAATTGTAGAGTGAATGCAGAACCGTTAGGCATATTGATATGCAGAGGGATCTGGGTGTGCAGGTACATAGAACAGTGAAGGTGGCAGCGCAAGTAGATAAGGTAGTAAAAAAGGCCTGTGGCATGCTGTTGTTCATTGGATAGGGCTTTGAGTATGAGGATAGGCAAGTCATGCTGCAGCTTTATGGAAATTTAGTTAGGCCACACTTGGAATATTGTGTACAGTTCTGGTCGCTGCGCTACCAGAAGGATGTGGGTGCTTTGGAGAGGGTACAGAAAAGGTTTACCAGGATGTTGCCTGGTATGGGGGCTTTTAGCTATGAAGAAAGGTTGGATAGACTGGGTTTGTTTTTACTGGAACGTAGGAGGTTGAGGGACACCCTGATAGAAGTTTATAAGATTGTGAATGGCACGGATAGAGTGGAAAGTATGAGGCTTTTTCCCAAGGTGGAGGAGTCAAGTACTAGGGTCACAAGTTCAAGATGCAGGGGGAGAAGTTTAAAAAATATGTGTGAGGCAAATTTTTCACACAAATGGTGGTGAGTCCCTGGAACGCACTGCCAGTGGCGGTGGTGGAAGCAGCCACAATAGCAGCATTCAAGAAACACCTGAACGAATACATGAAAAGGAAGGGAATAGAGGGATACGGATCCTGTAAGTGAAGACAGTTTTGGTATGGAAAGGTAACGTGTGTCGGCACAGACTTGGAGGGCCGAAGGGCCTGCTCCTGTTCTGTACCATTCTGTGTTGTATTGTTCAAGGAGAGATGGCATGGGATTCATAATCTTTCAAGGATGCCACGTCCCTCCTTTTTAACTTGATCTTTATTTTTAATGTAGAGCTATCTGCTAAAATGCAGGAATGGCAACTGTTAAGAAGAGAGAAGGAGGGCTGAATCCTGAGAGATTTTTTTGCATAGCTGGCGGTCCAGATTAGAGCAGAAATATGCCTTCAGCCTATCAAATCTATCAAACTGGACAGTTATCAGTCAGGAAACCTGCCACAAGCCTTTACGAGTCGCCCTGTTATTACATTTGTTGGGCATGAAGGAAATCATTAATTTTGAGTTTCTGGTCTAAAAGTCCTCCTTCTCCAAAAACCTGCACTAACTCACCTTTCTCACTTCTTGCCTTTGAGTAACTATCTGTCACAGTGTAGTAGAACTGGAAATAAGTCTATATCATTCCATACATCATAGGGTTCTTGCAACATTTTGATGTTGTGAAGTTTCTCAATGATAAGTGATTTTTCCTTTTCTTCTTGGGATATGGGTGGTGCCGATTTAAATTAGCATATATTGCTCATCCTAGCGGCCTTTCAGAAGCCTATGATGCGTGTTTTGACCTACTGCAGTCTACAACTGAAGGAGATTGGAAGTTCTGGAATTTCAATCAAACAGGCTTAGGAGACATGTTTGAGTTGGGTTGCTCCATCACATGAACAGGACACTATAGTTAGTGGTGTTCCAGGTTGCCCTGATCCTTCTAGATATGTGGCTCGTATATTTTGCTGCCAGTCAAACCTTTGCAACTCATTCCAGTGTACACTCGAGCAATGACATGCTGGTGATGGAGAAAGTGGATGACTTTGATCTGGATGCTTTCAAGCTTCCTTAGTGTATTGGAGTGGCACTCGGGTGCCTTGCACATTACAGAGAGACTTTGGGTAGTCAAGAGATGAGCCACTCATCACAGAATACTTAGCTTCTGACCTACTCTAGTTGGCACAGCTTTATATCACTAGACCATAAGTTTCTGACCAATAGGGACCTCCTGGTCATTGCTTTAGAGTGAGTTCAACCATTCAATGTTAAGACGAGGTGACAAGGCTCTCTCTCGGACCTGTGTGTGACATGAACGCTACTTCTAAAACTTACAAGCCCAAGCGTGAATGTTGTCCTTGTCTTGATGCATGTGGAACTGCTTCATTATCAGAGGAACTATGAAGGAATTTTTGAACTGTGCAGTATTGATCTAACACCCACTTTTGACTTTTGTAATTTGCATGAGTTAACTATGTGCACTCTGGTTTGCAACATTAGTGACTGTTACCCATTTAGCCTTGCTATTAACGTTAAATATCATGGATTGACCAATTCACCTTAACCTTCAGGACCATAATAGATTAACAGTTAAAATAATGATAGTGAGAAGTTGGCAGTACACATCAAATGTAACATAAAAGTATTGAGCTAGATTTTAACTAGGTTCAGCTGTCAAACATCAGACATTAGACAATTTAAGGTAGCAATGGGTTTACTCTTGCCTCTTGCCTTGAACTGGGAAACTGAAGCACCAAACTGTAAGCAACAAGAAAGCTGCCTAAAAATCCCATGGTCATTTTGAGCTCCAGTTTTGTAATTGTGACCATAATCTGCCACTTTATCCCAAGACTGTACTGGGTTTTTTGTGAGAAGATTTGTAGCTCGGGTTGTGGATGAGGTTGTAGATGAGCTCACCGAGCTGGTGTGTTTGGTTGCAGACGTTTCATCACCCTGCTAGGTAACATCGTCAGTGCGCCTCCGGTGAAGCATTGGTGTTCTGTACCGCTTGTTATTTATATGCCTCAGTTTGCTGGGGTGGTTGGCATCACTTCCGGTTCTGTTTTTCAGTGGTTTATATATTGGGTCCAATTCAATGTGTTCGTTGATGGAGTTCTGGTTGGAATGCCAGGCCTCCAGGAATTCCCTGGCATGTCCCTGTTTGGCTTGTGCTGTTATAGATGTGTTGTCCCAGTCAAATTTGTGTCCTTCTTTGCCCGTGTGTATTGAGACCAGCGAGAATTGGTGATCTCTGTTGGTGGCTAGTTGGTGTTTGTGTTTCTTTAATGTCAGTTTTCTTCTAGTTTGGCCTATGTAATGTTCCTCACAGTCCTTGCATGGTATTTTGTATATTGTGTTAGCAACCCAGAATTACGCAAGGCAGAACAGGAGCACTTATTTTGAAAGTTTTTAAAAGGAATGGATACCCAAAAAGCAGAATCTGCTGTTATCTCTGCAACAGACTACAACAAGAAGACACAACATGGCCAGAAACACTAGTCACCCTACCGTACATCAGAGACATCAGAGATGACCACAAGACTTCTCAGACCCCTAGGTATCAGGGTAGCCCACAAACCAACAACCACCCTGCAACAGCTACTGACGAATGTAAAGGATCCCATACCCACAACCAATAAAACTAATGTAGTATACAAAATACCATGCAAGGACTGTGAGAAACATTACATAGGGAAAACTGGAAGAAAACTGACAATAAGGATACACAGACACCAACTAGCCACCAAGAGAGACGACCAATTCTCACTGGTCTCAATACACACAGGAAAAGAAGGACATGAATTTGACTGGGACAACACATCCATAATAGCACAAGCCAAACAGACACATGCCAGGGAATTCCTGGAGGCCTGGCATTCCAACCGGAACTCCATCAACAAACACATTGAACTGGACCCGATAAACAAACCACTGAAAAACAGAACCAGAAGTGATGCGAACCATCCATCAAACTGAGGCATATAAATAACAAGTGGGGCAGAATACCAATGCTTCACCGGAGGTTCACTGATGTTACCTAGCAGGGTGACGAAACGTCTGCAACCAAACACCGGCTCGGTGAGCAAGTCTACAACCTCATTGTACTGAGAGAGTAGTGATGGCACACCCTTCAGACTAAATCACCAGAAACAAGGGTATGGCTCAAAGGGATAGTAGGAACTGCCGATGCTGGAGAATTTGAGATAACAAGGTGTAGAGCTGGATGAAATTTCTGAAGAAGGGTCTAGACCCGAAACATCAGCTTTCCTGCTCCTCTGATGCTGCTTGGCCTGCTGTGTTCATCCAGCTCTACACCTTGTTGGCTCAAAGGGAGCCTGGATGGCAGATACCTTTGATTAAAAATATGTACTTCATTGTGGACTGATAGAGCAGGAATCAGCTCCATCAATAGAGCTTGAACAGATGTCTCCAAAGATCTGTCAGCCCATTTAACAAGTGACACCCTCAAGGCTGCTTGACGTTTTGATTGTTGATCTACAGAAACATATGGGCCTTTACAAAGGGTGTAGCATTGAATTCATCTCCATCCTGGTGGCTGTGAGCCTATGAGAAACAGTATTACCACCCAGAAAGAAATTAGCAGTAGGTTAGCAGCAATAACACAAGCAAAGGTGTTAGCTTTGGCCATCTGCTAATCCACCAATGGAAGAAAAATTCCGACAATGTTTTTTAATATTTAAATATCCCATGATAACTGTCCATTTTTATAATAGAAAATAATTGGTTGTCTGAAAAACTATACGATATGTTTGACAGGATGTCAAGTAACTGACTCACAACAAAGTTTCGAGTGGGTAGAGTCAGTGGCCAAGTTGTGGAATGGATTGGAAGATTGACAAAAAAAACCCTGAGAACAGGGAATGAAAGTTGAGGGAGATTTTTTGGTGTTGTAGGCGATAGAAAATGTCATCCCAGTTGGGATTTGTATAAAGACCACATGCACAAATAATTTGCACTCTGCAATTGGAAGTATTATGTTAAAATTCATCAATAATGCTACATTGAGTGGAGTAGCTAATAATATGGAAGACTGCACCAAAATCAAGGGAGATAATTTGTTAGAAATAATATGGAGCTCTTTTATTCCTTGTAAGGTAAGAAATTAAATGGAGTAAAGCCGCAATTTGGTATAACAGATATCTACATTGCTAAACATAGCAACACAGTTTTGATACGGCCATAAAAAGTGAGAAAATATATAAAAACGAGAAAACTAATCTCAACCCATCTTCGATATGCCCACTTCCAGTATTAATTGAGGCAGGTTGGGAATGTGACTCATCTGCCCTCTTCAGGCAGGTCGGTCATTTAAATTATTTTAATGAGGCTGCGTGCCTAAGATTTTATCTCTGTTGCAGATTTAACGATGGCCAACCGGGTTTCCCGAACCTCGGGAAATCCGAAAGGTGAAGGGAGGCGAGAACGGCTGGATGGAACAGGTAAGTGCCTTTCCAGCACTTCTTGTGGGTCAAAAGGAGCAGGAGTGCTTCCCTGGCCCACCAAGCTTACCTGTTTCCATCCCCTTGATCAGACATCCTTACCACTACCCAGCACGATTGCTCTGTCTCCAGTGCTTGAGTCTTAACCCAAAATCCCACCCCATTTTTAAATCTTTAGAATATATTTGGCAAGATTACTGCTGAACAATAGACCTCCCTAAACACCACCATGTCTGCCTTCCCCCACACATTTCTTACATTTGCCCACTCCCCACTCTCTGTTATAATTCAGACTCCAAGACTTTGACAGGTGGAACTCTTTAAAATTATGAAGCATTTCAATTAACTTGATTTGGTGAAATTGTTCCAATTGTAGGTAAGTCTAGAACAGTGAGGAGTAAATATTGGATATTATTGGATTTACAAGCAATATACATACACAGAGAATGCTGAAAATGTGGATTTCAATGTCATGTGAAGTGGTTAAGTAATAGATGTGTTTAAAGATAATCTTAATGCACACATTAAGAATTATAAATAGGGTGGGGAGAGGTGATTTAAGTAGAAGGAGCTTGTTATGGGGAATGAACACCAGCAAAGATCATTTGCGTCAAATGACCAGTTTCTGTGCTGATAATTCTATTTAATTCTATGTTTGAATTATTTATTTTATCTGTTGCATATTTAGTTAAAAATGCTACTCAATAATAGGAACATTACTGTGCATTTAAGTGCACTATGAATGTTGGTGAAAAAAGAATATAATTTCTGAATTTTCTTGCTTATAAATGAATTGCACTAATTTCTTGGCTGAGAGAGTAAATAGTACAGTGGGTGAATTTACACTTGGAAGGCAAGCGAGTGGGTTGACTAATGGGCTCAGTTTTGAAAGTACCAGAGAGGGCAAAGGAGACAAGATGGGGAACAGGGAAGAATGGAACATAGAACATAGAACATAGAACAGTACAGCACAGTACAGGCCCTTCAGCCCACGATGTTGTGCCGAACTTTTACCCTAAGCCTAAGATCTTTCTAACCTCCATCCCTACCTTGTACTATCATCCATATGCCTATCTAATAGCCGCTTAAATGCCCCAAATGAGGCCGACTCCAGTACCCTCTCTGGCAATGCATTCCACGCCCCTACCACTCTCTGAGTAAAGAACCTACCTCTGACGTCTCCCCCTATCTACCTCCACTCACTTTAAAACTACGCCCCCTCGTAATAGCTACCTCTACCCTAGGAAAAAGTCTCTGGCTATCCACTCTATCTATACCTCTGATCTATGATCTATCTATACCTCTAAGTAAGGGAAGGCTTGAATATTGACAGTGAACAAAGAAATGGTCACCTTCCAATGGGCAAGGAAGAGATAGGAGCAGGATTGCATTGCATGTATGTAAATGCACAGAGTTTTGTGAACATTTTTGGGAAACTAAGAGCCAAAAATTGTTCCGGAGGATATGACAAAGTTGTATTAACAGAAACATGGCTCAAGCTAGGACTGGGTTCTTAACATCCTAGCTATAAGTTTTTATTAGAAACAGTGTGGGTAAAAAGGAAAGAGGTGTAGCAATCTTGGTCAAATATAGTATTGTTGCCCTTCAACAAGATGCAGTTCCTGAATTAGAATCTATATAGTTGGAGGTAAGGAACAAGAAGGGAACTGTGAACTTGTTTTTATTTATTATAGACCTCCCAAATATTTATGAGGAAGTAGAAGAGAGCATTTGTAGATAGATTATGGAAACTTGCAGGATAAGTAGAGTTGTGATAGTTGGTGATCTCAATTACCCTAAGGTAGACTGCGAAAAAGGTAGAATGTGGGGTACAGAAGGGGAGACATTTCTGCAATGTATAAAGGAGAGCTTTTGGGAACAGTACATTTCCAGCCCTGTGAGGAGGGAGCTGTGCTGGTTCTGATCCCAGGAAATGAGGCAAGCCAGGTGTAGAATATCAAAGTGGGAGAGCATTTTTGGAAATAGTGATCACAATATTGTAAGATTCAATTTTAAGTTGGTAAAGGATAAAAATCAGTCAATGATTAATATCCCAGACTGGAAAAGGGCAGATTTTAGGGGTCCAAAATTTTAACTGGAGCAAGTTGATTAGAAACACATTTTAGCAGATAAAATAATAGAAGAGAGATAAATAGGGTGCAAGCAAGGTACATACCCATGAAAAATAAATACAGGCTATCAAACGCTAGAGTACCCTGAATGATTAAGAATAGTGATAAGAAAATAAAGAAGAGAAAGGAGATATATCGTGCACATTGAATAATTATAGCAATCGCAATCAGCAAGAGGATATCAAATGCACAAATGAAGCTAAGGCTGGAATAAGGAAGTATGAGGAAAGGATGGTAGATTAGGCGAAAACAAATAGGAGGATGTTCTTCAAACATATGAATAGTAAAAGATCAGTGATGGATTGAGTGTGTAGTGATGGTGGCTGAGAGAAGTAAGGGAGCAAATTACAGAGCCATTGACAGTAACTTTCAGGTGCCTCTGAACACAGGATTAGTACCATGGCCCTGGAAAATTGCAAATATGACACCATTGTTTAAAAAAGTGGCACAGGATAACCCACGAAACTACAGGTCTTACAGATTGAAGTCAATAGTGGGAAAACTGATGGAAACTCTAATATGGGATAACATAAATACACACTTAGAAAAATAAATTAGCATTAGTCAACATGGCTTTCTCAATGGCAGGTCATGCCTGGCAAATTTAATTGAATTCTTTGACAAGTTGACACAGGCAGTAGATGAGGGTAGTGCTGTAGATGTTATATATTTTGACTTCCAGAAAGCACTTGATTTGGTGCTTCATGGCAAGTTGATGAGCAAATTAAAAATATTTGGGATGGATGAGTCCTTGGCAACATGGATTAGAAGTTGGCTAAAAGAGAGGAAACAGGGGTTATGTGTAGATGGGTGTTTCTCAGATTAGAGATGAGTTTGAAGTGGTATTCCCCAGGGTTAAATGTTGGGACCCTTTTTTCTGGTTTATATAAACCATTTGGAAATGGGTATTAAGGTAAAATCTTTAAATTTGCAAATGATACTAAGCAAGGGAGAATAGTGAATTGTCAGAATGATGCTGAGTGACTTCAGAGGGACCTGGAGACGTTGGCCAAATGGATAGACACCTGGCAGATAAATTTCAGTGCAGAGAAATGTGAGGTAATGCATTTTTGGTAGAAGAAACACAAAGACAATACAAGCTCAATGATACAACTTTACAGGAACAGAAGGACCTCAAGGTTCACGAGCAGAATTCTCTGAAGTTGAAAAAGTTGCTGAGAAGGCTTATAAGATCCTTGGGTTTATAAATAGAGACAAAAAGCACAAAAACAAGGAAGTGATGGTACACCTTTTATAAATCATCAGTCAGACCACATTCGCGGTATTGTGTTCAGTTCTGGGCACATTATTTAAGGAAGGGTGTTAAAGTCCTGGAGAGAGTGCAAAGGACAATTTACAAGAATGATACCAGGAATGAGAGATTTTAAATACAAGGAATGATTAGAGAAATTTGGCTTGAACTCCTTGGAGCAGAGAAGATTAAGAGGTGATCTTATAGAGGTGTTCAAAATTTTGAACAGTTTTGAACAGGATAACGAAGAATATTCTGTTTTCATTAGTTGGCATGTCAATTATGGGACACAAAATCAAAATTCTCAGCAAGAGATCTAGGAGTGAGATGAAGAGAAACTTCTTTGCTCAGAGAATTGTTAGCATTTGGAATGCATTGCTTGGGAGAGTGGTGCATGTGGACTTGATAGGAGGGTTGAAAAGAGAGCTGTATCTCTATTTGAAAGTGAAAAATTTAGAGGGTTGGTGAATCAGACTAGCTGGGTAGCTCTTTCATGGGCAGGTACAGACATGATGGGTTGAATGGCCTCCTTTTGTACTGTAAAATTCTATGATTATATATTTTAATTTTATGTTAATTTACAAAAGTTTTTAAAGTACACATCCTTGGGAGAAATACGGAAGAATCTGATGCTGTCCAATTTTGTTGTTTGAAATAAATTAGGAATTATTAAACTGCCCAATCACATTTTTGTTAAAAAACAAATAAAATATTCTTTTCAAAGAAGAGTTTTATTTCCTGACAATGTTTCTATTTCTTTGTCATATTACATTGAAAAATTATTGATAAAATGTATGCATAACTTAATTAAGAGGAATGTGCTAATGACTTGTACAAAAGAAGGATATTTCGCAAATAACAGTGAACAAACCGAAAAACTAACCTATAAAAACAAACCTATAAAACTAACCGAAATGTACTACTGGAGATGAGGCAGGCAAATTGAGTTGAAGTACAGATCAGTAATGGTTTAATTGGATAATCAAGCAGAATTGAGAGTCTAACTGGAAATTTCTGATCCTTTGTTCCTTAAGTGTATGCTCTGAAAGTTCTTTTTGGATAGGTGATTATCCTGACATGATATAACATCACCTGGGATCACAAGTAGTCTCATTTTTTTAGTTTAGGAGAGATGTTCAGTAAATGTACTATTTTCAAGCTCTTCAGTGATTTGACTAGGAATTTGTATCACATTTTGATATCTGGGACACACATAAAGGATTATCACATGCCCACAGCTATTTCTGAATGAATTTCTTGAATTACCAGACTTGCTGCTCAAAAGTGGCCCAAGTCTTGAAGTGGCAATATGCTTTTCTCACCCTAACATTCTTGTCCCCTGCATGGTAGACATTGGGGCAAAGTTTCTTAAGCCAATGTAGTTGTTCCAAAATTGGCTGACATTAAATTATAGGGGTGGGTTCTTGTGGCCACTACCTCATGTCCAGAAGGTCAAGGTTTAAGTCTCACCTGCCCTGGCAGTGTGTCATAACATCTTTGAAAAGATAACGTATAAATAACTTCTAATAACAGGACTTGCTGTGAATGCATGCCAGTTTTCAGCTCCAGTATACAAGTGCAGCAACCCTGAACATATATTCAACATGTTCAAAACC